TTTTTAGGTAAAAAATGTTTCCGGACGAGTACGTTTCAATTGCTTTCCAAGGACTTTATCTTAATTTTTTCATACCAAATTTCGGTACTTAGCCCAAAAAAAACAGATATCTTGTTCTTTGCGCGAAAATGTTTAACACAAAAAATGACTGGGGCCAAATCTTCTGCATATTTTTACATGGCCCACCCTTATGATTGCGCTTAACTTTCGATGACCCACCCCTTCAACCGTGCTCAAAAATAGTGACCCACCCCCCTATTTTTCCCAGTCCACCCCCTCCTTTTACTTTATGACCGGTCCCTTAGAACAAAAAAGTATCCATTAGGATACGGCTGTGAAAATTTAGCAGGCAACTTACAAATAAACTTTGCACTGATGCTCTTAAGGAACGCCAAAATGCCAACATTTCGGCTGATTTTTGTCTTTGGCACTTTCTTTTACGAATTTCTGTGAGGCAAATCTGGATCGCCTCGGCATTGAAAGGATCAACTAGCTTCAAAGCAGCTGCTAGTATTGATAAACTCCGAACATCGATTCCTTCGTTTCGTTCAATTTCTTGATGCTCAGCAATCATAGGGAACGGACTTTTATTTTCTAACAAAAACATTTCCTGGAGATTTGTCGTTCTATTTTCTTTTGTCCCGGACATTAAAAGTAACAGTTATTTCTATTATAGTTTTGTTTCAGGTCGAAAGCTGTTGTTGACCAAACCAGTATTAAAATAAATTACGTCATTTTTATACGACGTTTTATAAATAGGCGAAAATCGAGATGCGCATGCATGACGAATTGGTCATGATATGCAGGATATATCTTAACTATAGCCCCATTCAAACGAGGATGAGAAAGCTGATATGAGGTGGAATTGAAAGCAAGAGTTTTTAACTGCCTTTCTCCGGCCAAACGATAAAAGTGTTGACATGGGAATTGATGGTAGAAAGGAGTGTGGTGGAGGAAAGGAGGACCTCGATCTACAGCCACTACAGAAATAATATATTTACGCGGACAAAAGTAATTGGAATGTTGCCTGTATGTATGTAATAAATAAGGCTTCCTTAAAACGCTTTTTAACCTATCAAAAGAGGTATCCATGCTGTGGGATATCCACATTAGAGAAATTTCCGCATTGTCGATGTGTCCGTATTATGGATGTGTCCGCATTGTCGATGTGTCCGTATTATGGATGTGTCCGCATTGTCGATGTGTCCGTAGAGATTTCCGCATTGTCGGATGTGTCCGATGTGTCCGTATGAGGGGATAGGTGTGTGTCCGTATTAGAGGAGAGGTTTCCGTTTCAATTAGAGAGCTATTTGTTTTATACTGGTGTCCGAATCAGAGAGTTGTCTATAGAGAGGTATTGATATTGTAGAAGTAGTCGCATTATTGATGTATACGCATTAAAAAGGTGTTCGTGTTAGGGAAGGGTACAGAGGTATCGATATTAGAGCGCTGTCCGTATATTAGACTGTCCGGATATTGTGGAGAGGGGCTAAACAAATTCTAGGGGGTTACTGGGAATGTTCCCCCGAAAAATATAGACTCTCTGAAATATGTTCTGAGGATGATTAAATTGACACGAAGAAACCTCGATTTGACTGGAGAATTATTAATATCAACGTGGGGGAAGGGCTTTAATCTTTAATCTTTAATCTGATTCTCCTAAATCAGCTTATACACTATGCTAGGAGATACTTATATATGTATATACATTAACAAAACAAGTACGATCGTACTATAGTAGACCAGGAACTGCGTGACCCAGTTTCGATCTTGTGCAAATCGTTAAATGTTCAAAACCTTCGAGATTTTGACTTGATAAACAAATAACTAGACACTTGTGAAACTAATGTTCTCGAAGTTTGCAACGTAGACTGAGTTCGCTAAATGTTTTGCTTTAATTTGGTCATGCAAGATACACTTTATCCGGGCAAAATGTGTCTAGTGCCGTGTGTATATAGCCTAAATGAGGTGTAAATCTGGACAAAGCATAGATAACTAAATGCGCAGTTTTCAAAAATATTTCCTCGCATTTGAATTCGATAGATAAGTTAAATGTCCCACAATATTTAGAATAAACATGCCGTGCCTAAGTCAGCTAACTTTTGCCGTACATCAAATTTTGCCTTGCCGTGCCTGCCATTAATTACAAAATAAGTTAAGGTAACAAATTATCTGAATTGTTGCCAGGTTAATGCAATTTCATCTCGCTTATAGTCATGGCTTCATAACTGCATGCTTGTGCTAAAAACAAATTTTCATGTCTTTGTTTTTACGGTTCACGATTTTCTATCGGACTATGAATATTATACTGTATGACAGCCAGATAGCAATATTACTCCACTACGCTTTGAGAAACTAAGCCAGCGTGTTAAATTTAGTCAACTTAACGCTTATAATTAATTGTTATTATTAGTCGTTCACATTCTTGAGAAGCTTTAGACTATTGTGATTGTGTTCACAACAATAGACAAGACAATGTCTTTCTTATCGTTTGCTGATATATGTGCTGAATATTAATGATATGTATTTATTATTTGCTACGAATACAGTAAAAAATTGCTTGTATCTTGCTTCTAAAGTCAAAAGTGAAAAATCGAACACCGTCAATCGATGCGGAATATTGCTTAGAATAATTGTGTCAAATTTCATTCCGATCAGACAAGTAATGACGGAGCCTTAGGGTTTTTTCAAAGAGCGTCGCCCCCTAACAACAACAACAACAACAACAATAACAACAAGAAGAAGATTAGCAGCGATTGGGGACCAGTTCCTGGTCCAATAACTATGAACTATATATATGAAAAACTTTAAAAGGTAAAAATGTACAATAAAAGTGTCCTGCCAAAATTACACTGATGCCCTTAATGCAGTTAATGCAGCACTTTTAAAAGCGTTGATATTCGCAGGCAGTTCGATAAAAGGGAGATTGTTCCAGGTTACAATGGCTCTTGGGAAAAATTTGAAAATATCATTGTTACAAGAAACTTGCTGAAAGGGATAATGATTTGGAAGTCGTTTTTTTCTTTTTATAGGGCAACACTTCAGGGGGGAAGTTTAACTAATCAACGCGGCCTTGGTGGATCTTATAGAACATACACGACTGGTTAAGCAGTCTACGCCGTTCAAGTGTGCCACATCCTAAATTGTTGATCATTGGGGAAACATGGCTGTATCTGGAAAAGTCGTTGTTAAGTCGTTAAGTTGTTAAGTCGTTGGCTTCAGTCCCTTAATGTTCAGCTGCCTATGGTAATTGCCTATTATCATGTCTTTGTAGTAGAGTTTGTATCACTACTTCAAGGACTCTAGATTTCAAAATGTTTCAGGGGGTGTTCCCAGCCCCCCCCCCCAGGCTCTTCAACAATACGCCACGAATGTTAATAGAGATGAGCGTCTGTTAAAATTCTGGCTTGACTGGGATGTCTACTAAATATTTTCAGAATGTGGGCGTTTATTAGATTATTTATGATACCATGAATCACTGCGGGGATTTTGAAATCATGTGCGGCTTTCTTTTCGTATTTGAGATTGTACCCAAAATATGCCACCTCGCAGGTTATGTACTATGAATAATATAGCTGAGTGCAATTTGTGAAATTTTGAAATCCCAAGCATGTTTTCTATTTTACTGAAAAACAAGTACCACCAGTCGGTTTTAAAAAACACATTAAAATACAAAACAAAATGCGAAAAATAACATAATGAGAAATCCAAAGTATGACAGGTGTGGTTGGATGGAAACAAGACTATTCTCGGGTGTCATATGACGTCACGTGGGGTCAAGGGTCTGTGTTAAGGGTAAAGTTTTATATTGTTTTTATTATTTTATAATGGTTTTTATAATAGAGGAGAACTCATTCACATAAGATGCATTCACAGCCATTTTGTTTCTTTGTTGTTTTAGTTGACCAGTGTATCATATTTACAAAAGAACGGAAGTACAGCTGTGCAGATTAAATACAATATGAAGATAAAAAGTTAACTATTGCATGATGAAACGTTGTCCTATATACATTTCAAAGGCTTACATGTAGCATTCCAAGATTCTATAATTACAAATAATTTTAATATATGTTTTAGTTGGTAGTATTCATATTCTAACTACGAAAAAGTTTTCAAAACGATCTGTTCAAATTTTTGGGATAAAAGATTTATCAGGAGATTTTCTTAATGAATACTGGCAAGAGTTCTCTTATGGAATAATTTATGCAATTTGTGGTCAATGTCTGAGTACACTTGAAGGAAAAGTTTTTTGAACAAAACATGATAATCTGTATCAAACAGTTGTATATCTTTGCTCGTGAAGAATGAATGGCTAAAATAATACGACGTCATTTGGCTCCAAATTTATATTAAATGAATGACGGCATAGCCTCGCATTGAGGCTAGTGTATAAATGTTTAATTAAGGTGCCTGCAGGCTAGATTTGGCAAAATATTTTACGTCAATTTCGTCAATTAAGTAATGCATTTTTATAGTACAATTTTTACACATTTTCAAAATATTATCGTTGTTTCATTGATTTCTTCGTAAAATATTTACCTGAGTGTTCTCATATGAAAGACATGCTAAACGCCTGTGAAGAAGGAATGTGTGAAACCGCAGAATGAAAATCTCGATACATTGTAAAACTGGTTAATGCTAAATATATGACGTGTCGCCTTGTCGGAAACATAACATTACCATGCAGTATTAATCTCTTATTTGTAATTATAGAATCTTGGAATGCTATACATGCTTCTTCCCTTCTGTTTTGTTACTTTTGTAGTATTTCTAAATTGACTGATTTTAGTGCCTCGTTGTAAGGTACATCAGAAAACACTTTTCTTAAACAGCGTCTTTGAATCTGTTCAATTCTTGAATGTAAGGTGACTGAAGCAAGGAATCAGTTGTGGAAATAAGGCGAAGCATATTCTAACAATGAGGAATGCAAACGTAGTGTATTGAAATTATATCCCTTACAGGGACCTGTGCTCTTTTTAATTACGTAATCAGGTAATATTGCAATCCACGCTCGAGTCTTCGTAATGATGACAATTGTGCTTTGTCCATCCTAAATGCGAGCAATCCCAAATAAAGGACTCGGATCCAGAACACCCGGTGTTGTCCAACAGTATTGTACCAGTTCCTTGACCATAAACTGCACCATGGTAAGCTTTACTGGCACCACTGTATCCCAACTGACGACAAATCACATGTCCATCATCCAAATCTAAAGTATCATCACATACAGTTCCCCAACCGTACGATGGATGGTAGATTTCCACTCGACCTTTATTTGCATAACTTGTGCCAACCAATCTAATACCGTATGACCCACCTAGTAAAATATTGACATTTCGTTGTTCTTATTACCATTTGCGAGTTTCTGTGAAGCATGCATTTAAAAACGGTTTCAAAGCGCTTCTCCCGCGAAGTTTCTGGGAGAATCGGGTTCAATCCTAGGTCGGACCTCTATTCAAGGTCTTAAAATGACTGTGGAGAAAGAACTACCTTGACTTTGACATGGGTTAGAATCAAATCGTTCAATCGTATAAGGTACCTCGGATCCCCTATCAATTGGGCAATAGTTTGTTCGGAAATCCGCTCACGAATGAGTGAACTAAACTCGATATAAATAAAAAAAAAAATTAAATCTTCGCCTTGAATGACTTGTCTATGCACAGGGAAATACATTTCTTTCAGCCGTGTTTTCCCCAGCTGAATTTCTATTAGTCAATATACAAAAACAAGTCTTCAATGGGGTGCTCAGTCACGAAAAGCCGAGTTTTCATGCCAGCCCTCATTCTTTGTTCGTCTTTTCTGCTTCAACGAGGGCTAAATTGCCACGCTGGCTACAATCCTGGCCAAAACATTGTGGTCGACATTGGGTAACCCGCAGACATGCATCGGCCTCGAATGGCATTTCTCTAAATTAATACCTCCCCGCTCAATGTTGAATGAAATTTTTCATCAAATAAAATGTGTAAATAATGCGCACGTAATGAAGAGGGGGAGTAGGGGATATGAGTGTAAAGTCGACTTTTAACTCTTTGTTAGGATTTTTTTCAAAAATGGATCAAAAGTCTACACTAATTTTCGCCTGGATTTTAGTAGTCTAGGACCTGTATATGAGTTTGTATGCATTTCATTTAGGACAGATAATCTCAACTGTTTTAGGGCAAGTTGACCATGACGGTCGACATGGTAACCCTGCCCGAACCCCAATCCGGGGTGAAACGTCCGAAACTGACCACACCCAAAAACGACGCTCTCGCCATAGTGCTATCTACCAAACCATAAAAGCTTTGGCTATTCTGAGGTGCTTATATGGTTCAGAGATGGTGCTTTTAGGGGTGGTCATTGGTAAGTGTGAAATGCCTAGCACTGATATTTCACAAGAAAATGACCATGCAATACTCATAGTCAAACGTCAATTTGTGGCTTGCAACTTCAAATAAACAGCAGTGGATCTACATTACCTTTTTTCCTAAATCTTTTTTATAGAAACATAATTGGTACTTATTTAAGTATATTATCACTGCTTTGCTGTAAAATAGTTAATACTTTGTGACCGAAATAATAATTTGAAATGTACCTACCTCCTTCAAATGGATATATTTGGCCAAACTCTCCACTTTACTCCTCTGTTTATCGCCAATATCATTGAAATCCTTCCAAATAGCCACGGCAGCTTAGATAGAATGGTATCAAGCACATTTTAAATAAGTTTTAAATAGTTTTCAAGGAGATCCTAGCTGTTTAACCATCGACAAGGTAAAACCACAACTTTGTCCAATTTGGCGCCATTTTGTCATCCCATGTCGGTTGTAAACATTTCGCCCTTGTTATTCTTCCATCCAAGCCATTTTCATTCGAATAATAATAAATTGAACCCTTTGTTAAGGGTATCAAAATAAATATGTAAACAAAATTGAAAAAATGCAGCATTTTATCACCCTGTAAAATCTTGCTTACGAGTCTTTCAAAACATTCCGTACAAAATCTCACTTGGCAAAGCAACAGGGGGGGTGGGGTGGAGACTATGAAGATTAAAGCAAAGCAAAAGCACGCAGTAATAGCAGTGTTGTAAGACCAACAATCAACATTTATAATTTATAGTATGACATATTCATATGGTCGCTACAAGAAATAAAGCAAACGTTTGTAAGATTGTAGTTTTTAGTCCATTTCACACAGCCTTTTTCTATCTTCGTGAAAAAATTCACCCCCCTGTCACGGCCTTGTTGCTTTGCCACACGAGATTTGTACGGAATGTTTTGAAAGACTCGTAAGCAAGATTTTACAGGCTGATAAAATATGCTGCATTTTTTCTATT